TTTTATTGATGGTGTATAGAAGGACAGCCATCAGGATGCCTGTGTGTATTTTTAATATCCTTTCATACCTTCATTTAAAAAAAAGATAAATGTCTCTTTAATTTTGTCCACAGTCTTCCCTATCTAATTTGTCCGGTTATTATTTCCAGCGGTAGCAAATTATCGTAATGCATAGGTACATCTTAGAAGAGTCCCATCCATAGCTCAGCCCATGTTTTCTGGTCCATAGCAGGGTCCCCTGCTACACAGGCAACAGCACTGCCTGGTGCGGTTTGAAGCGCAGCATCAGAAGAAAGAACACGTGTGAGATTACTGGCTTCTGTCCTAACGCAAAGGAAAGAGCACCTAAAAGCCTGAGGCATAGGGAAGCAAGTTTCCTTATGTGTCTTCTTCTCCACAAAGAGTTCATGTTTCAGCTTCCCTAGTTCATGTTTCAGCTTCCCTGAGGTTAAGTCACTGATGGCCGTTCAAAGTACAGCTCATGCCTGCAGAACCACAGCCTGATAGCACTTTATAAAACATGGTAGATAACATCACTTCTTTTATAGCTAGGGGAGTAAAGTATAGGAAAATAAAACAAACTTCCCTACACCAGGCACCAAGACAGAGCAGAACCTAAATCAGGACGGTTCTGTGAGCTGGCCATTGCGATATGCAGCATCTCTGAAGTGTTACCGAACGTGCCACCCATGGGGAGCTCCTTCCCCCCCGGCCAGGGCAGCCACAAACAGCAAGAGCTCTCTTAGTGCATACAGGCAAACACACATGCATCGCCCAGAGCCCTGCATCTTACCACAGAGATTTTGAGCAACAGAAAGCAGCAGTAAACATCTCACTAAAAATAAACAGACCTCAGTGTAAAGGCTCAGTAAACTCTGAGAAGGAAGTGCCCGGTCGAACAGCAGAGACACCAGCACAACGCTGGGCTGTGTGTGCAAGGGGGGAAGGAAGGGCTAACGACATTACAGCTATGAGGCGTTACTATTCACGGCAACAATTTTATCTAGTTGAAATGCGGCACATTATAAACCACCCATGAACGCTCAGCTGGTTGGAGCATTTGGCTGCTTAAATATTCTAACCGCTCTGGAGGAGACAGAAGTTGGCAGCTCAGGACCACGAAGCAGCCCCTGGTCAAACTCATTTACATCGATGACATTTTCCTACACTTCAAGAAATAAACGGTCCTGAAAACTCACAGGTGCTTAGTACTGCTAATAACTGCATCAGGCAATGACAATTCCTGCATTTATTGAGGTTTCAGGTTTCAAGAGAACGCTGTCCGGGAGCGAGCTGCATGTTCACGCTGACAGACCACCGCCTTTCAGCCCGATTCTGCCCATCCTCCAACCCACAAGTTTCGTGCATTCAGAGCAGGTAACCCCCCAGCAGCCAGGACAGCAAGCATGGCTATCCACGATCTCTGCTTAAGGGCAGGAGCATCACGCTCCACCAACAGCGTCCAACCTGATGCTTACAGCGTTTTGGGCTGGGTTGGAGCTCTTCTTCAGCAGGCTCCCGCACGGTGCTTCCTACACAGCGCACGTCAGCGGCAGACAAAGTCAGCGGCAGCACTGCAGTAACTCAGACGTAATCAAAGCTCTGAATTCAGACCTAGATTATAACCCTTGTCCTCAATGGGCACCAGTTACTCACACAAGGAAACACCTCTGCACCACAACCCAGGCTTCAGTGTCAACTATTAATGTAAGTGATGGCAGGGAAACCAATAACGTGTTGCTTGTTGTTGACCTTTGCCGTTCTTTTTTGTGGTCTCCAGTGTTGAATTACTGTGCTGAAAAACGGCTCTAGCACTGCGAAAAACCCACACTCGCAAATATCTTTAAATAGCCAGCAAGCACGGATACTTTGCTGTTTGCAAATTGCGTTTTTTCCATGCTTGCACCACAATCCTAGTGAGTGGTGCCGTGTTTAGTCTTTATGCCATGCTGTTTCAAGCAGTGGTTATAAATAAAATAGATACCGTCACCCACACGCAATAAATCCGCATTTTTTTGTCCAGCTCTGTTTGCGTCATGTATAATATAGCAGGTGCCTGCTGACATGGGGCCTTTTGAGGATTTTGGTAAGAGACAGCACTGTTTATCAGTTTAATCAGGGTGGAAGGGGTTTTTTTTTGCGTGTGTGTTTTTGAGGTTTTTTGTTTGTTTGTGTTGTTTTTTTGTTTTAAACATGGGCTTTATTCGAAGTTTGAATTACCAAAGTACAGCTCGCAATACAGACATTTCATAAACACTAACCATGAGCAAGGTCTTAAAGGGGAAAGAGCCCAAACATACAGCTTTCACAGTAAGAGAAGGGGATATTTATAATTTTGTGTGTTCTGTGGCAGGAGGGCAAGTCAAGAGCACAACCCACATCCACAGCTTTGCATCTTTGGTATTAAGCCTGTCATTCACACCTGTGAAAATTAAAAGGGGATGCAAACCTTTCACAGAGAGCTTTGAGACAGCTAGGGATCACTCGTCCCTTTTTCTCCCCTAAGCGGGCAGGGACAAAAGAAGGAAGACTGTTCTTTCAGTGGTGTTCACAAGCTATAATCTACACACCACATTCAGGGTGTTGCTACAAAGATCTGGCCAGGGCCTAGTTTTTCCCATTCCAGATCAGAAGCAAGCCAAGCTTTTATTTTACACATGGGAGGACTTTCTCCCATGCGGCAACAAAGGACCCCAGAATAGTCAGATACCTCAAAATCTAGCTACTTATCTGAAATCACGGAGCATTAAAGTCCCTACCCAGATCGGGCACTTAGATTTACACCTCCGGAGGCTGCTCTGTGCACTATCCCATCAGCAGAAGCACTGCTGATCCAAGATGGTCTTTCCTGTCAATGCCATTCTGCTTTGAATAATTAAACCTACACCGAAGCAAGGACTTGAATCTTACACCAGGGTCACAACAACTGGTCAGTTGGCTTCCCCCTATTTTTGTCCCAGTAGCTGCTTCTTTGGAGAACAGCATCACCATTAGATGCAACTGAGAGAAGCTGACTGTAGAAAAGCCAGTTGTATGCTGATCAGGGCAGGGGTAGGCTTTGCCTAATGAGAGACTTGAAAACTAGTCATCTATGCTCCAGCTGAGTTTGGCAAATATCAGAGTATTCATTGTCTGAGGAACAGGATTTAAATTCTTCATTAGGCTAAAGAGGGACTGACAGATGTACTGTCCACCTTTGCAGTGCTGGTCATTCTCCTTGGAGGCTGAAGGAAATAATCTTCCATTATTAAAGTATTCTAAAACACTCCTCTAAAACATAGAGGATGTTTTAAGCCATATTCTCTATTGCAGTAAAAGCAGTATAACAGGGTCTTCTTATACCACAGTGAATGAAAATCTACAGATTCTCAAAAATCAGTGGTTTATAAAAAATTCTCACAGCAGAGCCAATATTTGGCCAAAACTTGGCTTCATTAGCCACTCAGGACCAAGTAATATAGAGCATCATGAGTTGGGAGGGACCCATGAGGATCATTAGTCCAACTCCTGACTCCACAGAGGGCAACCTAAAAGTTAAGCCATATATCTAAGAGCATATCTAGGCGATTAAGCTATGTAGCTTCTCCTTTAGCATCAATCCTGGGCAGCAAGGGGAGGTTCCCCTGGAAAATATAATCATTTCTGAGTCATATAAGAATGAACATCAAACAGTTGTTGGACAGGTTTAACACTGCATCTTACACATTCTTTTATTTGGGGGCTTACTTAAAAATAACAAGTCAAACTATAGATACACTACAAAAAATTACTCCTGACTATGATTCATGCAATTGCCCACCTCGTTTCTCGACCCTGCATTCCAATCAGTGCTTATACTCCTCCCTTTTGGTAAGCAATCAAATTACAGCAGCCTAAATAGTTCAGGAGAAATTAACCATGTGTTCAGCTCACCAAAGCGCCGGTAAAGATATTTAAATTTCTTACTTCATCCATGAGAAGAAAATTGAAACCGGTTTTACACTAATCGTCTCTGACACGTTTCTATTTCTTCCAAGAGCTCTGGTTCAGGATCTGACTTCAGGGCAAACACACTGACGCAAAAAATCCACACTTTAAATATTAACTACACTTTTCTTTTTTTGAACAACCTTTTTAATGAGGGTGAAAGTGAGTCACCTTCAACAGATACGTTGACACGCTGCTAAACAAGTTTTAAATGGCCAATAAAGAACAGAGTTAACTTTTGGTTTAAATGTTATTTCCTTTAAAATACAGATGAACAAGGGAGGTGAATACTACACAGTCAATATTTAAAATGTAAATTCTATCATTTTCCTAGAACTGTACACAGGCTTTCACTGAACTCACACAATGATGCTCAGTCCACTTCCGAAGAGGAAATTAAACTTCCGAAAAGAGCAATTATAATGATTCCACAGGGCAATTTTCTGTCACTAGGTACTGCTGTCATTCAGTAAGTCCTGATTCTCTCAGGTTTGCATTAAAAGTCCAATGGCAAGTATGAACCTGAAACTGAGAATTTACCATGTTGTATAAATTACTGGATTGTTGCTTATGTAAATTATTTTACCTATTAGCTCAATGCTAGCAGGTTTCCTTTTAAAAGGTCTGAGGGCACTGCAAAAAGTTTATTACGTAATTAAAAAAAAAAAAAAACAAAACTAAAACTTTACATACTGAAAACCAAGCGCAAACCTGAAAATTTCAGTCCAGTCAGTGATGCTCTGACAAACTGATTTCTAGGACAAATACGCAGCCAAGCAATTTTGCTTTGCTCAGGATCGCTCAGGGCGTCTACAGCACAGTGGGAAATAGTAAGATTATCTTAGTATCAATCCAAAACTTCAGCCAAAAAAACATTATTCCTATTCCCTGGCATTATTGCTTCAGAACAGGGAAGACTGGCAGAGGGACAAAAGGGAAGTGATATGAAAGGAACAGTACTGATTTCTATTGTAAATGACATTTTGCATTGTTGAATTAGGAAAATAAAGTCTCACAAAGAAATCATATTAGTGTACAGTATTTATTATTTTCTATTAATCTGAAGTCAATCATTTTGATATGACTAAATTCAGAAATAAACAGACATTTTTAAATACATATGAAGATGAGAGGCTTTAACATGAGCGTATTTAGTTGATCTGCACTCTTAATCCACATGCAAGATACAGCGATCAAATATTGTACATTTCCTTTCATTTTACACTGGTCCATGATAAAGCACAATTTCTGAGGGTGAAAGCAGGGAGGAAAGAAATCATATTTTCAAGTAGCCCTTTTATTAAAAAAGAGCATCAACTATATATTAAGCCAATGTGTTTCTCTCTGATTTTGATTTTACTTACAGTATACAGTTTTGCAAAATATACAGCTCACCAATGATACACAGTGGCCCTTTACTAAGGGCAAATAACAAAAAAAAAAAAAAAAAAAAAAAAAACAAACAACAGAAAAGAATTCTACAGATTAGAAAAGTCATATTTTAGAACATTATGCCACTTCAGAGTGTCTCCAATGCTGGTAAGAAAAGTCATGCACAATGTTTCTTAAGAGAATGTTGTCATTAGTCCATGAGAGATTTGTCTGCATGCTTCACATGAACAGAAAAAGGTACGAGTCACAAGGAAAGTAACTTTCTCCAGTTATCTTTTAGGCCTGTCTATGTCGTCAATAGCAGCTAGCAGCTTCTGTCTTGCCTTTTTGTTGATGTGGGATCCCAGACAAACGTTCACCAGATTGGTTAACTGCTTAGTGGAATATTCCTGGCAAATGAAAGCAGATCATGTTATGGCAGAATAAAGCACCAGACAAAGATAGAAAATTAAAAAAACACAGACATGCACACTGTGGACTTTTTAACTGATAGAAGCAGTCAGTACACAAGGGAGACTTAAAGTGGTAGTTAAGTCAGGTCTGGATAGTTTTCATAGTTGAGGCAGAGGACAAAAGTGTATTTTGCTACATGGCAGATTATAATGGAAAATGCTTATGACTTTACTAGTGTTGGACTGAGTTCACAGAAAGTAATTCTGTGAATACATATGTATCTAAAACAATTTTTAATGTATTTTCCATTCTTTGGGAGGTGTGGTGGGAAATATATATGCAAATGGGATAAGCTTTTAACACAAAAACATTTTTCTAAACAAACTGTGACAAAAGTTGGTCTTTTGTATTTTGACTTCTCATTCCAATAAGCTTCTAAATACTTCTGTCTACAGGGTCTCCAAACAATGTTAATTTCAGTACATGATAAAGGAGGAAAAAATGGCAAAAATGTTAAGACAAGAATTCTTAACATCTGTCAAAACACCACATTTGCCAGTACTACCTTTATACTTAACACTATCCAAAATATAGCTTCCACCAGTAGGTTTAAACAAGAGTTTTTCCACATAGGTCACCAAACAACAGCTCACATACTCTCTTGTGGCTCCAGGTATAACAAGGAAAATGATATTAAAGGCATATTTCTTTCACCCATTTCTAGTAGGATTTAAAGTAATCCCAAAATATGGATTTCAAAATGCTCCATTTAAAAAAAACTTTTCACTTTAACAATGGGCAGCTCCAACAGCATGTGACTATTAATTATGCAGTCCTGTTATAATTGTTAGGTTATGCTACCATGAAAGCATGCCAAATGCTTTCAAAACACAAATGAAGCCTTATCTCAGAGAGCAATGTTGATCCTTATTCAGTATTATAAAACGAAGGAAGAAAAAGTAATGACTCTCATCCATTGTGCCTTACACCTTAGTTTAAGCAACCTACTGCTAAAGACAAAGTAAAACTTCATGGGGTGATTTCAAACTGTACTTCTCGACGATCAAGTTGTGCACTTTGGCATATTCCAAACAGCACACAAATCTTTTCACTTCACTTCGCTCTGGTTCTCTACATTTTTTGATACAGTAGGTAGATGTGACTGGCTTATTCATCCTTCTCAGTCATCAGATGTTGAATCAGTACAAACACATGCTGATTTCATATGATAATAAATATAATGAATGTATACATGCACACACACACTTATATGTCTACTGCTTCCCGTACAGATTTTATTATAATAAATGAATATATATGTATATATGTGTATAATCATTTTTAACACATAGAAGCATTGACCATTGAGAGCTGTTAGCATGATTCTATCATCATGGTGAATTTTCCCAACAGACAGTAAAAGAATGAAAATTTAACTCTTACCCTGTGTTCTTTTATCCAGCGTTCCATGTCATTTTCTGTTAGGTAGTATGCTTTAATGTAGGTCTCCACAAATTCTTTATCTGGAATAGGCCTAATGTCTGTTAACTTCTCTAGTTTCATTAAGAACTGTTGAAAGTCCAGTTGCATCAAGGCACGTCCTTCATTGCTGCACTTCTTTACATTGGCATAACTGAAAAGAGAAACACAGCGGAAAGTAAAAATTAGAAGAAAATAAAAATGAATTGTACTTCTCAAAATTGTTTAACTTAGTCCTTCGAACCTTCAGGAGGAACATAATTATGGTTTTAAGTTAAAAGCAGACAAGAACTCTTCTTAGGATGTCTGATGCAGAGTTTTATTTGCATTAGTATAATATGTTTTAGCCCCACTCATAGAACAGAACCCCACTGTACCCAGCACTTAATAAACCCCCCCCCCACCCCCCCCCAAGTCACTAAAAATCCTACACTGAACAACTTATTAGAAGTGGGTCAAAGGAAATGAAATCAATGTTGATCAGCACACTGGACAGTAGCTTTAGGCAAGTGATCGCGACCACTGAAATCTGAAAGGTAACGCAGCAGCTTTAGGAATGGTCACCAGGAGCTTGCTGAATCAACAGTGGCAGCATCAGAGAAAAGCACAAAGCTGTTTGTTCATAAACACCCACAATAGCCTAGTGATAGGTTTGAGCTCAAAGAAGAAGAGACAGTAGATGAGCTTAGGGCAGGGTAATACCAGGAAGGATTACAGCGGGGTGATAGGCAACAAATGAAGAAAATGATCTTTGTAGTTTTTCAAATGGATAAGAAATTGTATTTGTCAAGATCAAAGGAAATGACATCACAATGCCCTTAACAGTGTCAATTTCAGCTGTGTACAGGGAATAAAAAAAGCTTTGGTCTGGGGCACAGTGCCTTGATAGACTTAATCCAGCCCACCCACAGGCTGCTGCCCCCAGCGACTTATACCAAACTTAAAGCAAGCTCAGTCTTCCATTGGTTCATGAAGCTGATCCTAATTATTATACAGTCCCTACATTATTAGGTCTGATGCAAAGGAGGCAGCAGAAACATGCAGCTGGAAACTGGATACACAGCAAGATCAGGTTAAGAAGAAATTGCACCCTTACAGTCAGTATGCAGAAAGAATTCGCAGAATGCAGAAATATCAGAGGCAAAAAGAGAAGATGACCAAGGCACGAGCGCTCTGGAGCTCTGAAGAAGATTAGATGATGATTCTTAATAGGACATACTGAAACACTTCAAAAAGTCAGATGGGAAACCAGAGAGAACATAGAACTAGGAGGGAGAGCAGGGCAAAATTTAAAGAGGGATATGGCTGACTGTACTGGAGATAATTTTTCACTCAGTGAACAGTCTGGTGAAACCAATTCCAGTTGACTGGCTGACTGGAGGAGAAACACCTCCTTCGTGGCTTTTAATTCCATACCTTCATGGAATTCAGAGATGAAAAAAGTTATGAAGGTATTCAGAGAGTCAGCTGTTCAGAATACCTTCCTTCCCTTTCCCCAGTGGCCAAAGAAACTACAAGATTGACAAGAAAAAATAGAACTGGGCAAGAAAGAGAAATTACAGGCAGGTTTTGGGGAGGAGATAATAATGAGTGTTCTTTACACTCCAAGAAAGGGCACAGGACAAATCGTATTAGCAAGGTATTCCCAGTCCACTTTGACCAGTCAGTGAGATGCTTAGGTGAAATTAAAGGTGAAAGTTTCATGGTAGGTCACAAGTGTGAACCAAAACTGCAGCATGGAACAAAATGTATGAGTGACAATCTTCACAGCTAAGAATTAAGTAGTTCATGAACACTGAAGTCACAAAAGATGAGTAAAATTGTGAAGTAAGGGAAAGAAACAAGTCCAAAACAGGCACAAGGGCTGAAGCAGAGGAGTTTGGTAGTAACTGATGGTGTTACCCACTTGAAAGGAAAGGGGGATGGGGAAGGAGAAGACAGATGCTTTTGTTCCACTTCTTTTGATTTGAGGCATGATAAGTGGAAAATAAAATTTCAAAAAGAAAAGATAGTTGTATAGGTCAATTGCCATATGAAGGAATCGAGAAGCCAGGGGCAGGTCATGGCTGTATTTTGTCTCCCTGAAAATGAAATTGATCTCTCAAGAGACTGCGTAAGGACGGCACGAAAAGAAATGGGTATGAGCTTAAAAATTATGGCTTGATGGAAGCAGTGGAAGCTGAAGAGCCTTAATAGACAGCTAACACTTGGAAAAGAAGGATGTTGTTGAGGTCCTAAATTAGAGCAGACAGCAGGAGAGTGGGATGGAAAGAAGTAAAATGGGTAGTAGGGAGTGCACAGGGCAAAGATAACCAGGAAAGAAATAGGGAAACATATGTAGAAAGAGTGGAAGACAGCATGTATTCTATGATGCAGAAGAAGGTGTGATGAGAGTCCAGACATAAGTAGAAAGGGGACAAGAACACAAAAATAAATGCTGTGGAAGAAAAGACTACAATACTCAGGCTACAATATTGACTCTGAAAAGACTGGGACACTGATTAAGAGGGAGGCATGAGCAAGGTGTAGCAGTTCCTTACTAAGGTGCTTGAGCCTCTATTTACCAAGCCAACTAAGGCATCTCTCTGTTCCTGATGAATTTGGAAAAATCCTGCTCCATGGCTACTCTAAGATAACTGCTAGGGTTGACAACTCCATCTTCCTTCCTGGCAAAGACAAATGGCATCACCATCGAGATGCTGACAATTACACTTTATCTTTCTTCCTTGCTCTGTGGGGAAATGACAATTTTCAGGTAGAAGTCTCTTTGAAACAGAACTATGTTGTTTCAAATGCTTCAATAAAACACATCAGATGATGTTATTCTTCAGCAGTATCTAGGTACAAGACCATCCCCTTTAGGTTTCATGCTGTACCACTCTCTCTGAAACAACTGCTAAGGGCTATGTTAAGCCTTGATATTTTTTAGGCTCCCCAAAAGCACAAGGGCTTACCAGTGCACTACAAAATTAGAACTTTTAATTCCATAAAATAGACGTTATCATTATAGACATATTTACCCAAAAGCAAGACTTTCATGGACTACTCACCCTTCCACAAGAGTTCTATTGGCCAAGCGTATGCAGTGCTCCCAAAGGATGTTGGAGACTGGCAGTGGAATACGGACTCTCTTAGACACCTCGTTCAACCTCCTGTTAAATTCTTCAAATTCCTGATGAAACATGAAAGATCGTTATTCCTTTAGCATAAAAGGGATCATACTCTATACATCCCTAGCAACAACAACAACAAAGAATGAGAAACGCACATGAAAGAGAATACTGAAAAGTAAGAGCAAAACAGAGAAGGTTAAAAGGCACGGAGATAGAGACAAGCTTAATATGTAAAGTAGAAAGCATACCACTTTCTAGTATATCATTCACAACATTGCCTCAGTAATTTTTTTTAAAAAAGGAAATACTGCTCTGTTCCCCAGAGGTGCAGTTCTCTGTGAAACTGACACCTCTGAAAATTAACCAAGTAGCTAATCCTTCAAATGCCGTTTTCATTGCCTCACTCCCTAAACTCACCTTTAACTTTTTTAAAGTCAATATACAGCCACTGAAGAAAATCTAGTGATGATCTATTTATCCCTCTAAATACCCGCCCCATCAGCTTTCAAAGAGAAGCTCAGAAATATCGTAACCACTTTTCATTCTTCAACCTTTTGCATTACATAGTTCTCCGGTGCTTTAAAAGGAGCTGAGAGCACCCACTGAAGAGTCCAAATCTAACAGTTTAGGAGCATACTGCAACACTAGATAACAATTCAGGTTGAGGGAAGGCACTTGTTTCCACCTTCAATGTCCTGGATGGATTTGAGCTGTTACTATGAGAGACAAACTAGTCATAACTGAATGTAATTACTGCTACAATGATTTTATGACTTACATAAAGTGAAAGAGAAGTCTGCTGCCACTAACGCCTCTATCATTTAAAAGAAGTATCAAATGACTTACATATAAAGCAGACTGATAACAAACTGCTCTGTGTAACCAGCAAAAGCAGTTTGTACTGCAGCCTATTAAGACCATACTTGTCCAACAAAGCACTTTCATTCCAAAGCTGTTAATCTAAGTGGTTTTTTCCTCTTTTTTTCCCCCTTTTTTCTCCCATCAAAAATTCATTAAGTGATGAAAAAGAGAAGGGAATCTCAGTAACCAATTTAACCTAGTATCTGGCCAAATAATTGGTGTTTAACACAATTTTTCTGAAAGAAGAATTTGGCAAGAGGAAGCAGGGTACCACAATGTCATGCTTTAACTGGCATACAACTCACTCTTCTGAAGACGAAAATGCCTAACACTCCATGTTAATGCATTTCTTGAACAATCCTCTTTCCCCAATTTATCTGCTTCCATACATACTATGACTGACTATAGAATTTTGCATATGTATGCACATGGCTAAAAGTAGTTAGTTATTACATTAAACACTGTGCTTACATCTGACACTCCTGGAATCCCAGGCTCCCAAATCATGAATTGCTTAGCAGTAATCTAAAAGCTTCTGTAGCAACTATTATTAGCTATATAATATAGAGGCCAGATATGGTTTTAAATGCTATTAGCCCTGATTGTCCTGAAGCAAATTCATCAGCAGTTGCACACTCAGAAAAGGAAAAAGTTCTACTGCAGAGACCAAATGTTGTAAGTACAAATTGATTTCAAAAAGCCATGGCAGCATAAAGAAAGGTAATCACAAAGACTCAGTCAAACTCAGTGCAATGATATATCCTCTATCAGATTCTCCCTTCTTTGCACTGATTTTCTTTTTTTTATGCAGAGAAGAGCTACAAAGTACAAAGGTGTAATCAAATCTGTTATTCAACACAGATGCATAACTTTTTCTGTGATACATACTTCACATATCTTTAATAGGCATATAAAAGGATGAGAGAGGGATTCTGCCAAGAACTGGTTCTGTATGCCATAAGGAACAGCAATTGTATAACCTCTTCTCCTGAATGCAACTGAGAAGTTGGGTGAATAACTTCCCTTTTACCTTCCTTTTCGAATACTAACTTCTAAATATAGCAACTTCAATTAGACAGTGCATGATCATTATTGGTGCTGGTTTGACTTGACCTATAGCCCCTATATGACATATCTCAAAGATGACCACTAAAATTATGCAAAACAGCAAATAGCCTTTGTTAAAAAAAACACTATCTCAGGCCACTGGATTTTCCTCAATGTTACTCCGCTTACTACACATTTATTTCTCTACCATTCAAGACTTAGACATGAAACTCATAAAACTTTTGTGGTCACTTTCACCCACCATGTAGTCAAAAAATCATCACTGAAAACAATCCACTAGCAGCAAGAATAATGAAAATTCTGGACTGACCTCCTCATAATAACTTACCATTTGTCAGGATGCTGTATTGCTCTAACTATGCTACTTTAACAGTTTTAGTGAAGTATTACAGTAATTTAATGTTTATATTAACTTTAGCACACCATTTCACAGAAAGTATTCACCTTTAAAAGAGCATCTACATATATATTGTGTTGTGACATGATTTCCTTCACATCCCATTTCACATTAGCCATGAGAAGCAGCATTTGTTCATAATCAATGGCTTTAGCAGCAACAATCCAATAAACTGGTTTACGTAGTTCACTGGCAGTTGACACTGTCTGAAACAGAATACAAATAAAATTCAATTCAGTAAATGTCCGGCTAATAAGACCAATATATAACTATGATGTACAAGTATTTCCACTATATTGTACAAGTTTAAAATCTTTTGTTTAAGAATCAGCTATGAATTACACAATTCTGACCTGAGAATAGAACTGCTGAAGAAAAGGCTTCTTGGCAGCTGGCATCACTGCATCAAGATGAGGCTGAAGAAACTCAAACTGCTCAGCCAAAAATACCCTTTGAAAGCAAAGAAAATTTACTGTGAACTAAATGCAACATTTGGCATGTCTCTGTACAACTTTTAGTCTACAGTTCGACATATTTGGCAATAACGGTATGTAACCTTGGAAAATTTAGTCCTGAGAAGAACCGTATCAGTTTCATGCCAGCATATCAACAAGTATTCTCAATTCTGGCAATTTTAAAATATGATTGTAAACAAGAAAATGCTTGATTAAAGAGACTAAGGCTTGAATATCAACAATTCATATTTCTATTTTACTCAGGATACACTGCAAAAAGTCTGATCCAAAGTCTAGTAAAGTCGGTGAACAAGTGTCACATAATTTCCATGCTGCAGTCAACATTAACATTAATAAATCCATGTCAGAATTCCAAAATAACATTCCTAATTACATACTAGTGAATCTTCTCAGGGGTAGGATTTGTTAATAACATAACAAAGAAATACATTTCTAACCAAACATAAATGAATGCAAAAGAAAATAAGCTCCTTTGAAGATACATTTTTAAAATTCATTTTAAAATTAACTTCTAATCTTTAAGTGTCATCTTGTGTGGGGGGGGGAAATAATTCCTATCTGACTCGTACTATTATTCTGACCAAATAAAAAACACTAAGTTTTGCGTTACTTCCTTGTTATCATCTCTTCTTCACAGGTAAACTTCCACCCACTGCAAAGAACACTGCAATCCAAGCCAGACCAATATGAACTAAGCAGTTTTGAGTCTCAGCCATCAACATTGGAGTATTTAATACAAGGTTTAAATGAACCATACAGATTAAATACTCCCATCAGCCTCTTTAAAATTAAACTTTTTTCCTGTTAGATTTGGCCTTGTACTGTCACAAATTACTGGACCAGCTGCAGTAACATTTCATTGCTTGTGCTTGCAGGTGGTTAGACCAGATGGTTAGACCCCACTACTTTTAATTAAGAAACTACCTCTATCACTCATATTTAAAATCACATTAAGAGGTAGGAATTTTTGACCTCTCAAGAAGGTTTTGGCTTGGAATCACAGTCTCTTAAACAATCCATAGCTTCTAGTGACCACAAAATGTAGAGTACAGTAAATAACCTACAATGATTCCGTGGCTACCACTCTCTCTGCCAAACCATACAGTGAATTGCCAGATGTCAAAACTACGAGATGACTGAGATGTGGGCTTGGCACCTTCTCCTTCCTCTCTTCAGCAGCTGTGAGAGTTCCTGTGGTATCTGCAGAGACCTCCTAAAACAAAGAATTAAACAACTGAAATCCCACAAAAGCAGCAAGAATGGCTCCAGCTGAGTAGTTTCAGATGACAGATAAGATGAAGGAATGTTTCCAATTCTAAGGTGTAATATAAATCAAGTCTGAATCAAAACACAACCATAGAGTTTTCTATTTGAACAGTGTGGTGTTCAAACAGGTGGAAAAAAAAACCAAAAAAAACCCCACATCACGTAGATCAATATCTATCTCAGGGAAAAAAAAAAGGTAGAGAACAGACTTCTTACTACACCTTAATGCCCATATAGGCTTTAGCCCAACCGTCTACTGGGAGACTGAATTCTCACCCTTGGAGATAGTATCTTCAATCTGACAGCAACCAAATAAGGCGACAAATCAAAGTAATATTACTTATGCATGGCCTTTACTGCTTATGTGAGCTGCGGCTAACTTAGGTAAAATACAAATGATGTTTTTAAACAAGTTATCATTCCATGAAAAGTTCTGTCCTGCAGACATCTTGATTGTAGAAAGCAAGGAAATATTCACATCACAGGAAAAGAATTTGTAATAAGAAACAGGTTACACCAGCGCCCTGTTGCAAAATTTAAAAAAGAAAACAAACAAACAAAAAAACAAGGAAAAAAAACAGAAAAAGAAAAAAGAAACAAACGGGAAAAAAGAAACAAACGCAAAAAAAGAGAAACAAACGCAAAAAAAGAGAAACAAACGCAAAAAAAGAAACAAACGCAAAAAAAGAAACAAACGCAAAAGAAAAGAAACAAACGCAAAAAAAGAGAAACAAACGCAAAAAAAGAGAAACAAACGCAAAAAAAGAAACAAACGCAAAAAAAGAAACAAACGCAAAAGAGAAAAAAGGAAAAATTGAAAAAGGGGAAAAAACAAGAAAGGAAAAACTGGGAAAAAGGAAAAAAGAAAAGAAAAAAAAAGTAAAAAAAAAAAATGAAAAATACCCCCCAAAAATGGAAAACACACACACACACAAAAAAATATGCAAATAATGAAAAATAGAAAGAATTCAAAAAAATAGAAAGAAAAATGAAAAAAAAAACCAAAAAAACAAAACAAAACAAAAACAAAAAACAAACCCAAAACTGTAAAAGAAACAAAAAACCCGGGGTGGGTGGGGGGGTAAACAAAAAGCACCAAAAAAGAACCAAAAAAGAACCAAAAAACTGCACCTCTACATTTGAGGAATGTAAGTACTCTACATCTGAGGAATCTAAGTACAAGTTCCAGCTAGAAGAGGAATCACAGAAGGAAGAAATTCCCAGAGCAGTGATATTGGTCTAAGCAGGTATACAAATGGACATCCTCTGAAGCTTAGCTGTTTGCCAAAACCACACCAGAACATGAAAACATAAACGGCTTCAGATTAATTACTCATGCCATGTTTACGGCTTACACACAGGCTATAAAAATATCAGAAATGCTACAAAGCAACGGTGGTATAAAACCCAGAACAGATAAAGAAGGTAGGCATAATATGGCACTGATTTCTTAAGTAAGAGCCTTCCAGGACCCTGGGATAGAAACTCTGTGGCCAGACAGGTGCAGCAACACATCAGCCTGTTTGTATAGAATGAAAATAAATTTGAGCAGTAACACAGTGACAAAGTAGTGGTAAAAATAATTTTTTCAAAAGCAAGATCAGGTGCACAACATGTCTACTGTAAAACAACATATGAACACGCAACCAATATGACAACAACAATGCTTAAATATGACATTTATGGTTGGTCTCAAAAAACAAATCAGCATCATTCTCAGATTGCTGTAAAACTAGACAACGATGAAGCCAAAAACTTGATAAAAAACAAAGCAGCTTTGCAGTTTGGGTTTTTTTTTTTTTTCCCCAATTGGAGATAGAAATAAATTGAGAGGAAATTACAGTGAAGTAACTAAAGAATCAGGAGTAGGAGGAAGAAAAATAGACTCAAGCTGACCACAATAGTCACCTGGAGTTTCTTCTAGGCTTCACAGCAGAGAACAACTGTGAGGAGTGACACAAAATAGAATAATTGCTGTGCACATGTTTTTCAGACAGTTTTGCCTAAGAAGAAAAGGCGAGCAGTGAGCACTAGAAACAATTAAGAATTGGAATTAAGCGGTGGTCTAACTCATTCTAAATATCAGGATTGAGACAAGAAGAATATGCATTGTAGATCCTGAAAAGCCAAGAGAAAGGGCACTGCACAGATGATCAGGTGAAAAAGGGAAAAACAACAGGGAGGTTATTCTGGTAGTAAAATATCTGACAGACCCATTGTGGTTATATTGCAACAATTAAAGGCAGGATAGGCAGAAACTGATTATGTCAAAATGTGTAAGGACTTGGTGAGAATTTAAGTGATGCAGAATGAGCAGAAAGATCAAAACTTTGTTGCTATAGACAAAGCTGCACCAGAATATGTTTACTGCTTGGATGAAAGCCAACCCAAAAGAGACATTAAGAATATAAGACAACAGGAGGATAATAGTGTCCAAGCTCTTAAATATGGTTTAAGGTGTGGAGGGACAAAAAGATCGCAAGTTCCACTTTAACCATCTTAGATTTTAGTTGACAGTTGGCTCCGGTGATGTGACAGCCCAAGGCAACAACAGGGAGCTGGATTTGCCAATTCAGGAAGGCTCTTTCAGTTCTGCGTCTCCCAAAGATGTCAAACACACACATAAACACGGGCTACCGCAGATGGAGCCAATTGCAGACCGGGAAAGTGGAGTTCTCACTACAAAGGGTGAGGAAAGTATCTTCGGACTTCTTAAAAAAAAATTTGTAATAGGTTACAGAAGCAGAAAGCAGATAAAGCAGGGAGCCTTGAAGGATCCCCACAGAAATTCTGACATTAAAAACAAAGACTGCTGACTGAGCAATACCATCAACACACCATTTGTAGCGCTAAAAGATCTCTCAGAAATAGATCAATGAGCAGAAGAGAAAACTTCTAAAAGAAGCTTATGGTAAATGCTACCAGATACAGATGCACTGAGGATGGGAAAGATTATAAAGGCTAGCCACATCGCTATGTTATTTGAAAAATGGATTTTCTTTCTGTGTTCACATTCAGCCAGATAAATTTGTAGTTAAACTGGCCAGACATTTCACAAAACCATAAAGTTTGCATTCTGCTGAGTCTATCAGAATGGATAAGCAAGGCAAAGGGCCTGGACATTTGCTAAAACTCATGTAAACTCTTTCAGGCAGCTCTGAAAATACCTGCCTAGCACATCCACAAGTATAGTGCACACAGGCAATAACATCTAATCATCTAGGCATAATGGTCAATTCTTCAAGAATATTAACTGAGCCAAAGACACCATTGAATATCTATCAAAATCCACTCTTAATCTGCATTCTTTTTTTCTTTTTCACTTCATGTTATTCTTAAAAAAAACCCAAACCAACAAACCAAAACAAAAAATGAGAAGCTTTGAAACATTTACACATGGTTAAAAAACCAAACCCACAGCCCACCAACCAATTCTCTGTTCTTAGGAGAGACAGTGAGCCACAGAGCTAGGGGAAGGAGTATCAGTGGTAAAGATTTAAGCATCTTTGTTTCTTTCAAAGACTAATTACAAATTATGTAAAAAACAAATATTAGAAAGACTTAATTTTGTATTTATCACACTTCAACGATGCCTGTCTCTTCAGTATTGAGATACATTTTAAACAACTTTTTTTCTACCTGCCTCTTTCCCATGAAGGTAAATATCTTGTGAACCTTTTAAATGCTGAAATCGTGTTGCACCTGAAGACACAAAATGTACATGAGACAACTGGCTAAATCAAAGACATGCTTGGGTTCAACCAGGGAGTCAAACTCTGGTTCAAATATACTGGCCAAACACAGTATGAGTGTTTCATTCTCCTGATGTGTTCTAAAAAAAAGGCATTGCAAAAGCACGTTGATAGCAAAAAGGAAGCCCATGGAAACAGCCGGTGTGCCAATCCCCAAGAAAAGCACAAGATCATTCTGAAAGGGTTTCAGTGATGCATATTTTTTTTTTTTCCTCCAGCCTTCATTAACAGAAATGATCAAATGACTGAAAGCAGCAACAAAGGGGCAAAACATTCAGGCTGGAACAGGAAAAAAGGCTACAGACTAGTTAAAGACATCAGATGTTTTGCAATGGGCTGGACTTGTTAAAGTTAACCCTTCCAGTAACTTAAGAAACCCTGCAAGACAGTCTCTGTTGTCAGAGATTCCTTTTGAGTACCCATGGAGAACAGGTAAAGTCTCGTAAAACGTGGGCAAAACGATGCCAATCTCAAGAGGAGGAGAAGGAGGAGGAGGAGACTAGAAGCCAGGAAATTAAACAGCAGCCAGCTCAACTTTAACTTCAAGAAATGTCGAGTTACACTGAACATATTGTAGCACGCAACATCAAACGTGCAGACACCAATACCAAAGCAGAACAAACTTGCTTAGCATTTCTGTGTCAGAGCAGCAGGTCTTGCTGATAGAGCAGAATAATATCTAAGGCATATTACAGCCTACATAACATCCTTGTAAGCATACTGGGCAAAATACAGATTTGATAAAATAATTTCAAAGTACACGTGGAACTGATGCAAACTACAAGATACTTTTCTCCACCCTTGTCAAACAGGAAAAAACCCACAGTGATTTAAAAAAAAAGAAAAAGAAAAAGATTTCATCAAAAGCACCAAACAACAATAACCAAATCAACTGTAGCAGGTACAGCAGGACAGGTTAACCAGCATTCCATGCAGACACCTTACAGTGGATCTTATCTATTCATTTTTCTCTACTCTAACTCCCTCCCTCATACTGTCACAGGAAAAGAACTGAGTTTTGTGTTGCTACACATGATTGGCATACACAACTAGCAATTATTTATAAAAGATTATTTGCTATAAAGGCCTGAAAATATCAGAAGTGTTAAAGCAGGCTTATGACTGCTTTAACTGTTTAAGGGTTGCTAATAACAGTAGTATGAGCTACAGTGTATGCTTTGGGAAGTATCTTTAT